TTGGCACTTAGAAACTTTCATTTAATTTTCAGAATAAATATTGCATCAGATAAGAATAGACGATGAAAAAGATATTGATGATATTGTGTTGTATTTATTGAAATAAAATATATGGAGAAAAGGAATATAGCTAGAAAATATAATCCCCGTAAGCAGGTGACGAAGGTACAATATATATTGCTGCATAAGTAATTAATTTGAAAACATCATATCAACAGTTATTTTGTTTATTTATATGTGATATTTACAGTTATATCCACCTGCAAACTTTATTAAATAAATATGTACAGGGGTATTCAATTTTAGGATGGCTTTTCTTTTGAGGAATTTACTTATATTAACTCCATTTTGAGAATGAATAAATCCATTCAGACTCTTGTCACGAAATCTGACAGTTACCGGATCTTTATGATGTACATACAGTATTAAGGTGAGTAACATATTTCAACAGTGTGCTCTATCTTGGGCACATTTTAATTTACCTATCTTTATTTTTTCTTGATTTAAATAATTTTCTCAAACTCAATAGGTTTACATTCATCAACATGTAATAAAAAAGATTAATTAAATTTTGACACCATTCACCACTACTTCTGATGTTTTGGAGGTCAGTGTTTACTCTGTTCCTATTTCGTTATGTTCTATGGACCACCTTTGATGTTTTGGAGGTCAATGTTTGCTCTGCTCCTATTTCGTAATGTTTAATTGACTTTTGATCTTGAGTAATGTTCGTTATCTCCATATCTTTTCATTCAACTCGATATTTGAATATTTAGAGGATATATTGTCAAATAGACATTTATTACTTCCAATTTTATATAGACTAGATTAAAATCAATGAGTTTAAGATAAAATTAACACAGAGTACTCCTCCTAAGCATCTTCTCCCATGACCATCTTTTATATAAGACAATATCCGTTCGTTTTACTGGATATAAGATTATATGTTTGCAAAACAATTTCTCAATGATAATTACACAGTAATTTAAAGTTATTTCATTCAAAAATGAATTTTATTTTTTTAAGTGCTTTAAAAAAAAGAAAATAAATAAATAAATAAATGAAATCATTTCCAGATTGATAAATTCTTAATAAATATGAATAAGGTTTAAGTCTTAACATTAAAGTTATGACTTAACTTCAAAACAGTAAAGTTACATGTACTTTTCACAAGAAAAATGAATACTCGTTCCTATTTTTTTTATAGTTAGGTTATATGAGTAGGTTTTTTTCATTTCTCAAAAACATCATTGCTATAAACCCTATCAGGGATATGATCCTTTGAAGATGGGTACAAGGTATGCTTATTTTTTTTTGCAATCAATCCGGCACTTTATTTTGACAAAGAAACTTACGCTTTGTTGTTTCCGGTAAGAGACTGACATTTTGCAAAATGAATATAAAAGATTTTTCAGGATCGGACCATCATTACATCGTATTTTAATTCTCATTCACGTGTCCATACACATTGTCGGTGAGTTTTGTTACAGTAGAAAGTTTTGTCGGATTATCATAGGTGTCCTGTCCTGCCCTTTTTGGATGGTCATATAAATTTATATCCTGTTTTACTGCTGTCTTTATACTACTATCATTGAGAATGTCCGTTATCGTGTTATCATGTATTAATGACTGGTCCCTGATTGTGACGTCATAAATTCCACTGCTCTGTCTCTTTGCGTAGACATAGAGATCATCGTTATGAGTTGTCTGTCTTTGTTGTCTCAAAACGTCGTATTCTTCTTGTTCTACGTTTTCATTTCTTTTAACAATTGTCAATGTGACATCATCTTTTGGCTCTTCTATGATCATATGTTTGGGATATAGAGTTATGGAATATCAATAAAATACAAGCACTTTGTTAATTTCATTTCCACAAGAAAACAGAAATAAACCGAAAGCCACAATGTCCAAATATAGGTAGGTCATCATGTACGCACTGAGTTGTCGTCGGATTTTCCAGGTGTTTTCCCGAACATGACAAGGAGCGCTGAGCAGGCGACGCATACTCCTCAATGGCACCCAATCCCACCTCCGATGTTTTGGAGGTCAGTATATTTTCTCTGCTTCTATTTTATATTATCTAATTTTGAGTTTTCGACTTTTGAGCTCAAATACGGTATTGCAAATTATACTGAAGTATGTATCACAGCCTTACGATACATTGTTCATTCATGCGGTTTAATCTTTACTTAAAAATTCTATTCTAAAGTACAAGTACAGTGGACCTTCAGATATCCGGATGCTTCAGTATCCAGAAGCCTTTTCATCGGAACAGAATTTTTAATTCTTTAAATATAATTTTTTCTTCTTTAAATGGTGATTCAGATATCCGGACGCTTCACATATCCGGAAAAATTGATTAGGAACCAAAGCGTCCGAATAAATGAGGCTCCACTGTACTGAAGTAAGTGTGTTGCATACTAATTATAGTAAAAAATTAAAAATTATAAAAAACAGGAAAAAGATAAATTGGAATACGTCTAAAAAATCAAAACTTTCTTTTTAAATCATTGATAAAACATAAAAAAAAGAATCAAAGTAAAATATATTCAATTATTTCTCATTGTTTCTTACAAATTGTATAAACACTTGATAACGTAGAATAAATTAATATTTTATACCTACTTATCAAGATATCACACAATAGCATATACATAATCTGTACTACAAATCCAGATAGCAATCACTCACTTAAAGCGTACATTGAAACTGTCTACTCTTGATGTGATAAGAAACAAGACACACTATCTTTTTTTTCTCACAAATGGATTACATTCTATTTTTACACGAAAAAGATATTAAATGTGTAAATCTTCTTTCCTGCTCTCAAATAACGGTGAAAACATTAATCTATTAAAGAGGAAACTTCCGGTTTTCTTCTTCCTGTATAATTCTTGGTCTCTGGGTCATTTTCGAAAATATGCACACTTTCGCATCTGTGTCAATTTGAACGGAACCATGTTTGATGCAAAATAAACAGTATCATAGGGTTTTTCAAAACAAAACAATTTTCTTTGAATACATTCATTTATAATTTTATTGCTTTAAGTAATAAAAGGATACATTATTTAAAAATAATATATGAATGACTTCATGTTGTCACTGGATTCTTTCAATTGACTTTAGCCTACAACAACTTAAAAAGGATATTTTCTGATTCAGATATCTAACTTCTGGAAAAAAATAGAATGTGTCTTTCTACAAATGTTTCAGCAATATTTTTTTTTCATTTCCCTCTACAACTTATTTAGCCTGTTATCAGTTCTCTCTACTAATTTATCAAGCCAGTTTTCATAGAGGACTCCGTTTATTTGATTAGAGTTTAATGTACGAATTAGAAGGGGAGACTGGTTTTAATATTTGGAGAAAGCGGGATAACTCTATTAATATTTTTCGACTCCTCTGACCAGAAGCGGTGAATCCCCGAGTTATTCAAATTGCCATTGCCACATATATGTTCTTCTTCTTCAGGTGATATTTTATTATTTAACTGTTTATAACGTCTTTTATCTGTTTGCTCTGCTCGTATTTTGAATTGTTTAATGGACTTATGTTATAACGAGACTGATGTTTATGTTAGGTAACATGTTGTGAATTTGTGTTGCAGGCTGTAAAGTGAGCAGGTTAACAGTAGCTTAGATGTGGGTACGCACATGTTGTTATTTTTTATAGATGCATGTGTATTTACATGTATCCAATACCTTATGACGAATATTTCTTTAGTTATAACGAGACAGAAAATATAGATTTAATTGATAGTATTAAGTGATTTGGAGATAAAAAAAAGTTTTCATATTTATTTAGCCTGTTTTCAGACAAGTGTTTAATGTACAAATTAGAAGGAGTGGATTTTAATTTTTAGGGAAAGCGGGATAACTCTGTTGATATTTTTTAATTACTAAGTAATTTTGATCTTAATTTTGCACCCGAATGCATAAGCGCAATTGCTGTTCTATTGTGCACATGTAATTCAATTTTGAAAACGAACCGATCTCGTCCAGTAAATATTGAGCAGTTCACGACGTTTTTTTTTTTGCCAACTTAGGGTGTATTTTTTTCTTCATTTGAGCATTGAATTTTTTATGACCCTTTAATTCTTAAATGTTAGATATGTTTTTTATTAACCTGTATATTTTATCCGCATCCCTTACCCTATATAGGCTTCTATTCTCTCCCCCATCTTAAGAATAGCTTTATCAAATTAAAAGAAAATAGATTTGATTAGGTTTAATGGACGATTAGAAAGGATCAGGTGGCAGATAATATATACAGGTTGTTAAAAGTATTTCTCAAATCAGAAAAGAACAAGTGGTTTATTGATCAATGCAGGAAAGTAGAGCAATATATCCCTAATCGTGCGCCTTAACTTCTGCAACATTTGCATTTGCATAATGGAATCTGTAGCATTTATGTCTAAAAGACAAACGTATATATCAATATAAAGTTAAGGATTCTGAAGGAAACTTTTAAATTTCAAACTGCTCAAAAAGAGCGCAAAATTTAATTTTTTCGTATGACGTTGTTCTGTCAAGGCCTTCAGCCTAAATATCATCAAATTAAATCATATAATCTTTTGTTCTCCCACTCATTGATTTGACGTTTAAATGCAGCTTTTTCTGCACACTTTATAAACACTTTATAAACACATTGCACCTGCTAATAAAGAAAAGTGTTTGTATATGAAAATAAATCTTAACATCTCTACACACGTTTATAAATTGCAACAGAATGAAATTCTAATTATCAACACACATGATAGAGTTATGGATACTACTTCTCACCCAGTCATATGACCTTTCACGGGGATCAGTTAAAATTCATGGAATGTAAAAAAAACATTTCTTTGTTGTTCATATACTTTATATCATTAGACTATTGATAATAAAACACTTATATAAAAACAAAACTTTTATTATGTAACAATACTTGAATGCAATTTTCTTGTTTTTAGGAATTAATGTTACATGTATAAAACTATTTTTAAACATAATGCATATTGGGATTTTTCATTAAATTCATTACACAAAATGATATAATATTTATAAATTTGTTATGTAATATAACATCTATACCAACATTTATGTCTAACAATAAAGTTTTCATCATCTATAATAGAAATATATAACTTTCCATATCATGCGTGAACAAGTATGGATATAAAGATATAAAAAGTCAGGTAGGTTTCAGCATCATGAGAGTCTCTTTTATCTGTGTACTATCAGTCACTGTAGGATACCATGGCCAGACCCAGGACCCCGGGGACCATTGACCGTTAAGGAAGGCTCGGTGACAATAGTTAAACCACCAGCCTCCTCTAGTGTTACTGAAACCAGCACAGTTACCTCTACTATACCCGTCGTTATCTCTGTCTGGGGTACTGAAGGACATCCCAGACAGATCATGGCCGCTATTCATGCCGTCTCCTGAAGTACAATATTATAACAATATAAATAGACACAACAGTCATCTCCAGTCACTCTGTCATTGTCTCTGTCCGGGGTAGAGAATGAAACCCCATACAGATTACCGTAAGAATAACCAGTGTCTAGCATAGCGTCTCCTATAAAATTATCAGAGAAAAATATAACATGAACACCTATTTCAGATTAGATCATTATTATTTACTAAACATTTAAAGCTTAAAGCATCTATAGTATTCAACAATAAAAACTTTTTTTGAATTACTTTAAATTGCATTGCTTTCAATTACAATAGATGAACACTGTTTTCATTTAATATTTAACGTTGTTTTTCTGTTGTCATTTGATTTCTTTTTTGACTGTATACGAACATGTTGATAAGTCTCAACAGAAATAAAAGACTGATTGATTGATTGATTGATTGATTGTAGTTTAGCGTCCCTCTCGAGAATTTTTCACTCATATGGTGACTATATCATTTGCCGGTTGAGAACTAGGAGTTTTGTTTTATAATACATGTTATTCACGGCAATTGAGCAGTTCGCTATGTTTTTTGTGCCAGCATCTACTACGACACTGGACTTGATTTATACGATCTCATCCGAAGGATCAGTCTGCCCGCCCTATATTGGGATTGGAACTCGCGACGTAAAGATTCCTTACTTCACGGCTCTAACCACTGCGCAACGCGGGTGACATCAACAAATTTAATTATTATTTCATGCGTGTGAAGCCTTTTTTTAAACATTGAAATTGGTAAGCCTATATACGTACATATAAAGAAGGGATATTCAAAATAATTATTTCATGAACCAATAAATTGATATAACATTAGAAAATAACGGTATGATTTTTTCCTTTTTTTGGAGGGGGGGGGGGTGCATCTCTTTAAGTTAACAGTACAGGAAACAATAGCTTTTCTTATTTATTTTATCAACACATTAATCATTAGAATTCTTCAAATTTGTGCGACTACAAGTTGATAAAATTTGTGTAGTTAACTTCTTTCTTTAGTGTTGTATACCTTTTGTTAAGTCTGCTATGTTTATCTTCAACACAAAAGCGGGATAATTAAGTCCTCGTTATCGAATGTAATAATTACATTTCCAATGCAAGTTGTTTTTTTTTAATTCAATAATCGTTTAACACCTTAATTGATTTTTCTGTATGAGTTATGTATCTGACAACATTACGTACAAGTATGCATGTAGTGTTATGACGTGGAAATGTTCAATCTTTTAGCAATTTATTACTGATTGGCTCATATAGTATGGACTCTTCATTTTCAATATACAAGGATAATTTTACTTTCAAAATATTGATATCAACGCATCCCCCTCCATTAATTACGTAACTCTAGGGTTGATTCTCACAGAAAGAATTGGTATTTGTCTATCTGTCACAAGAAATTAAACTCTTTCTCCCTCTCTCTCCATAATATAGGTCGTCATTCGTACATTCTTTTTTCCGTTTACCTACCCAGGGTCCCGGTAGCTGGTCCGCCAAGAAAAAGTCGGTAGTTGTTGGTTTCGTCAGCAACAGAGAACTGGTTGTATAATTCATAGAGCCTTGTCCCATTAGTCAGTGTGATAGATACGTAGAGGGAGGAGTTCCTTCTTTTAGTAAGTTGATGTATAACGTCATTTCCTTAAATATTTTATCGTCGTGTAATATATAAAGAATTAAAAAAGCAAAAAATATTTATTTCAAGTTGTCATATAATTCAACATATGATTATGAAGGTATGCAGAAATTTCTAATTTTGTAGTGCATGCAGCAATGAACATACATGTTTTGAAATCAAAGTAGGGAAATCGTTATATATTGTATTTTACATAAATTGTTATCAACTTCATTTTAAATGCTAAAAAATTAAATGCTAATTTAAACTGTTAATAATCAGAAGCATTATCATCCCCTAAAACAATATAAAATATTACACAGTTATAGAATGGGTACAATTACAATAGCAAATTGGTTCCCCGAGGGAGGGGAATATTTCTTCTGGAACCTAACCCTTTGGGGAGCTATAAATTTGCTATGTCCTCTGTAGTCATTCCATAACTGTATATAGTTTACCTATCCAGTAGGATCCGTTAGGATTCCCGAATCCCGTCTTGTAGTCTGTCCAGGTTCTGTCGAATGACACCGAACCACTCACACGTTTCTGGATAGCCTAAGGATTTATGATTTATGTCGGGTTTACTGAACGAAAGCGTGAAGTTAAATTTTTTAAAGTTATGATTTAAACACAAAAGATTCATATATAAGTCTTCTTTAAATATATTAATACCAACAACTATTTAAAGTTGAAAAAAAAACTTTGTTATCAAAATTATGATATATATTTTTTTTTCTACTTTGTAATTGATATATTTATTTCGGAATTGTATCATCCCCCTGTAAACAAGGCTTAAAATAAATCAATGTTAATTCAGCTAAAAAAATGATTGCAGTTTTAAAATCAAAGTTTAATTTATTAAAGAAATAGTAGTTTAAATTTATGGTTGAGCTAAAAGAGAGATTAGAGATGAGAGAGATTAGAGAGAGAGAAATTGAGGAGGGATAGAAGGATAGAGAGATCTTACTGTCCACCCTCCACCTTCTGTCATCATGTCACAGAAGACGCTGACCTTGCTGTTATTACCAAATGGATATATCTCATACACACCAGATTCTGTATTACCATGGATATAGAGGTTCTTACAATCTTTATATAACTCTGAAAGAAAAAAACAACAACATAAATACATGATATGGTAATAACCGTAATATACTCTGAGAGAGAGAGAGAGAGAGAGAGAGAGAGAGAGAGAGAGAAAGTTACCTGACTTGATGGTTTCCAGTATACTACTCTTCAAATCTTCGTGGATGTTAGTTTCATTTTTCTTAATCCGCGCGATTTCTTGTTTTAAGGAATCTATTTGTTTCGCGTTCTCCTGTCGTAAGTACTCAATCTTTTCGTTCAATATTTCAATCGTCTGATCATTACGGTCGCAGTAATTTTTGTCATCGGAATAAATTTGCTGACAACTAGCCGCACAAAAGAACAAATCTGAACCACGTACACGAAGATAGCCATCCAAACTCCTGGGTTTTACTTTATGTCTGAAAATAAGCTTCCCTAAAACAATCTGTAGTTTATATACCCTAAAATTGGGAAGTTAAAAGTTTCCCTAAAATATTACTCTACCGAAACACTTAACGTTCAGCAGCGAATTATATACGACAGTCAAGAAAAAAATAAAATATTCAGGATGCATGATCATAGGTCAAGTTCAGACTAATGCTGGTAGTGGATGGCATTATATACATTGTATATACCAGTTTTAAAACTTAAAATGGACATATTGTTTTTAACCACTACATCTTTAACAAACAGAAATAATATATAAATCAATATATACTGGACAAAAAAAGTTAAGGATCATCAAATTAAATATGTTTTACAATTACTGGATCATAGAAAACAGAATGCATTTTTAATTTAAGATCATATTTTATATTTCAAAAGTGAAAATTAAACATTAGATGTGATAAATTTGTTTGAACACACGATACAAATTGTTCATTAAGGTCACTTTAGAATTCAGCATCAGACCTGAAAATAAATTTTTTCCGAAAGTCAATATTACTTCACTAGAGCGATTGTTATTTTGTATGACCTCCCCGCAAGACCCTGCAGCGCAGAGAGCTGTTCAAAGCTAGCCTGAGGGATCTGTTACCATTCCTCCTGCAATGCTGTACTATGAGATCAATCATTATCGTCCAGAGAGAGATTATGCATGTAATACGTCAACCTATAGGATGAAGAATATCATTTCGGTATTTTAAACCTGTCAGGTTGCGTTCAATAATGTGCACATTGGTTTTGTAGTCAATACTTATGCCTGCCCAAATCATCATCAAACCTCCATTTACTCTGTATTGCTCAGAAATGATGTCAATCAGAATATCGCCACAATTGCTTCAATCAAGTCTTTATTCATCATGGAAGTCAAAACAAAGTTGATACTATATACACACACCAGATTATTGCCAAATTTTTGTGTTCTGTTACCCACTATTATTTCTGCGGCACGGATATAGAGTTCGGCAAGTCCTTACAATCTTTATACAACTCTGAAAGAAAAAACAACATAGAAACTTGACATGGTAATACCCGTAATATACTCTAAGAGAGAGAGAGAGAGAGAGAGAGAGAGAGAGAGAGAAGAAGGGAGAGAATGTGAGAGATTTTAACCTGACTTGATGGTTTCCAGTATATTCTTCAAATCCTCGTGGATGTTAGTTTCATTTTTCTTTAATTCCATCGTTTTCTTTTTTAAGGAATCTATCTGTTTCGCAAAACCCAGTTCACCTGTCGTAAGTATCAATCTTTTCATGTTTTTAATATTTTAATCGTTGATCATTCATGGGTATGAAAAAATCGTGTTTATTTTTTTTGCTATCGGAATAAATCTGCTGACAACTAGCCGTACAAACGAACAAGACGTACACGAAGATAGCTACATAAACTCCTGTCATGGTTTTACTTGCGCGCTGTCTGAAAATAAGCTTCCCTAAAACAATCCGTAGTTTTTATACCCTAAAATTGGGAAGTTAAAAGTTTCCCTAAAATATTACTCTACCGAAACACTTAAACGTTCAGCAGCGAATTTTATACGTCAGTCAAGAAAAAAATAAAATATTCAGGATGCATGATCATAGAGAGAAGTTCAGAAATGCTGGTAAATTTATGGATGGCATTATATACATTGTATATACCAGTTTTAAAACTTATTGGACATATTGTTTTTAACCATGAAAAGCAATACATCTTTAACAAACAGATATTTAGTTTTCAATAGATATATAAATCAAAATATACTGGACAAAAAAAGTTAAGGATCATCAAATTAAATATGTTTTACAATTACTGGATCATAGAAAACAGAATGCATTTTTAATTTAAGTATCAGATTTCATATTTAAAAAGTGAAAATTAAACATTAGATGTGATAAATTTGTTTGAACACACGATACGAACTGTTCATTAAGGTCACTTTAGAATTCGGCATGTTGGGGGTAGACCTGAAAATTAAATTTTTTCCGAAGAGTCAAATTTCTTCACTAGAGCGATTGCCAGTATTTTGTATGACCTCCCCGCAAAACCCTGCAGCGCAGACTCATGATGCCTGTCAGCCATCCAAGGCTAGCCTGAGGGATCTGTTACCATTCCTCCTGCAATGCTGTACTATGAGATCTATCATTATCGTCCATTAAGATGAAATCATCCCCGATTATGCATGTAATACGTCAACCTATAGATTGAAGAATATCATTTCGGTATTTTAAACCTGTCAGGTTGCGTTCAATAATGTGCAGATCGGTTTTGTAGTCAATACTTATGCCTGCCCAAATCATCATCGTTCAACTTACTTTTTTAACGCCACGTACTTTCTTGATTAATATTTCCCAAAACTCAGTAAACACGTGTGATTTAAGTATCGAATCATGTTCATGACATGTTTTTAAAACTACTTAAGCCTAGTTGTCCTATAAATTCATGGGTATGAAAAAATAATTTCTGTGTAAAAATATGATTCCTAACTTATTTTGCCCAGTATATAATATGTATAATGAGACTTTCAAATTTATTTATATTCTTTACATTAATCTGTTGAATGTACAATTATCACACGTTTAAAATTTCTAATACTTTCTCAATATTAGTTCTTCTTTAGAAATCAAAAGCGTTTTTTTTTAATTCCCAAAAGCAATTTGTGTATGAGGTTCACAAATAAATTACGTTGTGAATTGATAATTGATATTTATTCAAAAGGTATCAATGCCACTTTTTGTATAGAATACCAACCTCAACTCTATAAGGTATGGGATATATGGAGATAACGAATAGTATTGGAGCTTAAAAATCCATTAAACAAAACAAAAAGAGCAAGACAAACAAGGACCGGAAAAACATCAGCGATGGGACCAGGTACCATGAAGAAGTTAGAATCTCTATCCGCCTGGTCACATTAACGTTTGCTCCTTATTATTCAATAATCGACAATCGTTTCAAAAATAACATTTCAAACCCAGTCTCTCTCTCTCTTTCTCTTATATGTGTTTTTGAAACAGCAACTTAATTCAATTTATCTTAATAGAGCTTTTATCAAAAGAAAAGGTACAGACACTATTCTACGTCAATCAATTCTCTTTAGAGAACAAATCTATCTTTGCGTTGAGATTAATTTTCATAAGGTATTGGATATGAAAATTCTTTTTTTAATTTTTGATAGTTTTGAGAGGTGTTAAGTGTCCCAATTAATTTAAATTGCTTTATGACATCAAATGACGCAAAAATATGTCTATTAGGCATGTTTTATCTTATTGACAAGTGAAATTTTTATTTTAATATAAAAAGTGAAAGAAGATATTTTAAGTGAAAAAAATACAATGTACTTTACTTGCACGAATATCTAAATTACAATTCGTCTTGTTTATTTTTGAAGGGTTTGGATGCATGCTTGCATAAATGTTTGCAAAGTCTCTTATCGTTCTTATTGTTTTAAAAAGGCATTTTTTAAAAATACCATTGTCAAAGCATATTATATTTTCTGTTGAGTGTTTGGTCACACTATCGAAGATTTTATTTCAAAAACGAGATGCAAAGGTGACCATATTTCTTATAAATAGATTAGAAAGAGGAGAAAGTAAAAATTACAAGAAAAATATGTTGTTTAATATTTAATATTAAATTCTTTGCATTTAGTCCTGCAAAAAAAAAAAGAAAGAAATAGTTGTTAAATCTATTTTTGTTAAGTAATGGTTGTACTTTCAATTGTAATAATTATAAATAAGTAGCAGTAACGTAATATAGGATTTATATTGTTTAAAGGAATAAGGAAGAAATTCCATAACGAAAAAAAGAACAACTTCATTAATAGAAAAAAAAACAACTTAAAGGGATGGTTACTTCAAAACAGGGGTTACAGATGCTCAGAAAAAGACCTAAGAAATGTTAAAAATTAAAGCTTTAAATTAAAACGACAGAGAAAATTGCAAAAAAAAAAAAAAAAAAAAAAAATAGAGAAAAAAAGAAAAAATTTTCGTAGTCAATTGGCCAATATCTTCATTTTTTGCGTTAGTTTTTGCAGTCCCATCGTTGAAAAAATCCAATATAGATAAATACTAGTAGGAAAACAGAGGGTTGTAAACTGAGATAAATATGAAAAAAAAAACAGTGGGTTGTTAACTGAGATAGATATGAAAACAATGGGTTGTAAACTGAGATAAATATGAAAACAGTGGGTTGTAAACTGAGATTAATATGAAAACAGTGGGTTGTAAACTGAGATAAATATGAAAACAGTGCGATGTAAACTGAGATTAAAATAAAAACAGTGGGTTGTGAACTGAAATAAATATTTTGAACTGATATAATTATAAAAACAGTTGGTTGTAAACTGAGATATAAATGAAATTAGTGGGTTGTAAACTAAGATTAATATGAAACGAATGGATTGAAACTGAGATAAATATGATAACAGTGGGTTATAAAATGAGATCGATATGGAAACAGTGGGTTGTAAACTGAGATAAATATGAAATCATTGGTTGTTAAATAAATATGTAACAGGGGGTTGTAATCTGAGATAAATTTGAAAACATTGGGTTGTTTACTGACATAGATATAAAAACATTTGGTTATTATCTGAGAAAATTATGAAAACAGTGGGTTGTAAACTGAGATAAATATGAAAACAGTGGGTAATATAACTATGAAATTCAGTTGTTTGTGAACTGAAAAAAATGAAAAAACAGTGGGTTTTAAACTGAGATAAGAGACGAGTAAGGTCACATCCTAGAAGGGAACCCGGATGAATTGAACATGTTAGAACTAAGAAAAAATTTCATCAGGATTGAGAAATTCTAATCGTTTACTATATATAAATGATGAATTAAAATTATTTATATTAAATCTATAGGTCCGTTATGCAGTTTTTTTTTTCGTTTGATTTTGAATGAATCTTTCTTATTTAATTGGCTTGTATTTTTAAATAAAAAAAAAAAGCTTAAATTTACCAATAATTATTATAGTTCAAATAAAACGATTACCATGTCCAAGAAAAACAGAATCCAATTCCCTGAACCCCCCCCCCCCCCATTCACGTCAATTCTGAAGACGCACATACAATTTATGTCATAATAAATCACAAATGAAAAAAGTGAAAATGGTTGGTGATAACAGTTGATTATATTTTTGCTATGAACATCATCTTATACAATAGATAAGTAATAACACAGTACTAATAAAATTAATATTTTGTTAATTAAGGAGAATCGATATTAATACGTAGTTCTGAATTAAGGATATCCGATATCGAGATATTATTCTGAAATAATTTAATTTTACTTGTAACAAATTGGCTAAAAGATTTTATCCATTTTACATTACATAACTTGCCTACGTCACAATGAGTTACGTCAAAAAACCTATTTCTCCGCTTGAAGTTACATTTAAGATTTAATCAATGGGAAGTCTTATTCTTGGGAAAACATTGTCTCATTGTTTGCACTGAAATCAAATTATAAGGAATAATGCTTATTTTAACTTATTTTATACGGTATAACTAAACTTAGGTCAGTTTACGTTTTTTTTTTTATAAACCGCTTTGTATATGTGCATATAACAATACTTTTTTGTTATTGGTGTAACAAAGTAAACAAACGGGTGGGGGTTTCTCTATAATCGTAAGGAATACTTTTATACACGAGAATTAAATTTTTGCAAGCTCGTTGTCTCGGGTAATTACTCGAAAATTTAAGTATTGCGAAGTCATCGTGTCAAAGTCATTCTGATTTAAAGCATTTTCTAAGAAACTCCTATCGTAGAAGAGAACAAAGAAAAAAAATGAAAACAATCGGTTGTAAAATGAGACAAGTGAAAAAGAATTTAACTTATACCAGGAAAAGACACCAGAGTCTGACTCATCTGTACAGTTTCCTACAAGGATATTTACTTGAAAGAAGACGTTGATGTAAATCTAACAACCAAGCGCTATGATAATCATGATGAATTAAACTTTTCTAGTGTCATCTTCCCTTTCTTATGCAGCAATATACAATATTTTTGTTTTTAGCTTTAAAGAGCAATATTCTATGTTCAACTGTTAGCAATTTAGCAAGGATGTATGTACAGACCCTAAACCGTGCTACTACACCTCAGAAACGAACCGTACCGTTCCGTGCAGAAAGCGTACCGTACCGTGCACAAAGCGTACCGTAAGCGTACCGTTCCGTGCACAAAAATTATTTATATTAAATACCGTCCACAAAGAGTACCGTTACGTGCATGAAACGAACCGTACCGTTCTTTGGTTTATGTCCACGCCCCCAATGATTTTTGAATCTTATAATGACCAATTCATTTTGGTTTATTTAATACGGCGTTGTATATTTAAATTGTTTAAAACACCATTACATGTATCAATATATGCGTCTGGATTTATGTAAAAATAATAAACTACTCAGAACAAATACAATGCAAAACAAAG